ATATATATATATATATATATATATGACTTCATTTCCATGGCCTTCGGTGAGCATCTTGCATTCGTTGTGTCTCGTGCATCTTTGACAGACACAAGTGGCGTGCTGTTGTGGTGGTAAAACCAAAGGGACAAAAACATGAATAAAACAGTGAAGCCGTTACCTAGTTACAGTGGTAAACATCTGTCGCTAGTTCTCGCAGTGTTACTCACCATAGAAACCTATCGCAAGTCAGAACCAAATACTATAGTGTGGAAAGCCATCAAACCAAGCGTGAAAACGACACTGGTCTCCACATTACAGTGCTGCTACGTGGAGCAAAGTGAGTGTGATTCGCTCTAGCAGCTGCTGTGTGGATTCTCCATTTGTCTTTGTCCCTTTCTGCTCATTGCTGACCTGGTTTATTGCGAGCGTGCCGTGTGTTGGTGAGATGGCTCTCTGTGGGCTTGTTCTGCACCCACTTATTCCCACTGGAGCGGCAGAAATCATTCACAGAGAGGCTGGACATGACACTCTGGCTGTGTGTCAAAAACTAGCGGGCTGCCTGCTAGAAACGGACAATAATCAAAATTTTCAATAGTTTTCGTTGATATTGTAATCATGCTTGTAATTGACATGATAATACCTTTGTGGGCCAACTGAACGCTGTATTATTCATGTAGCCTACACATCAAAAACAAGCTGAAACCTATTTAAATGGGTGTATTGCAGTTTTATGCGTTATTAAATCAAGACGGCGACTTAACAACTTCACATTGGTCCTGCTAGCTTGATTAACAAAAGTGTTATTAAACAAGTCAAGAATTTGTATTTAGAAATTGACACATTTCCCAATTGCATGGATTACTATTAAAATGGCTTGAATTTCTCTTGTGGAAATTTGCCAAATAATGGTCAATTTGACTGCACCTTAAAGGGGTCATATGATGTTGCTAAAAAGAACATTATTTTGTGTATTTGGTGTAATGAAATGTGTTCATTACACCAAATACACATGCGGTTTAAGGTTAAAAAAACACATTATTTTCCCACATACTGTACATTATTGTTTCTCCTCTATGCCCCGCCTTTCTGAAACGCGTCGATTTTTACAAAACTCATCGGTCTGAAAAGCGAGGTGTGCTCTGATTGGCCAGCTATCCAGTGCGTTGTGATTGGCCGAATACCTCAAGCGTGTGACGGAAATGTTACGCCCCTTACCTTACCATACTGTGATGCCGTGTCCCGGCCAGAGTGACGAGTCAAAAACATTAAAACCCATTACAAACGAGGCATTTGTTGCATCCAGTGGGGACATAATTACGGATTATAATGACTTATACTGTCTTTTTACGCATTGCGTTGCATCGCGCCGCGTAAACATAAAACCATGTCTGCATTTGTGATCGGATAAATTACGTACATCAAGCATTACTCTACACTGCTCAAAACTCGCGTTTGAATCATCAGTGGCAAATTCTTTAAAGATGAGCACCCCACTTCTCGATTAGTTTGTGTTGTACCAACTCTAAATTTAATCTCAATTTTTGCTACCTAACTAGGGCTGTGACGATAACCGCATTACCGCATAACCGCGGTAATTAGATGCCGACCGCGGTGTCCGAGACCGTCTTTTTCCCCCTTCTCCCAAAACTCCTAAAATAGTTCAGTTTTGTATGTAATGAAAAAGTGATTATATTTCGTTTCGTTTTTTAATAAAGTTAATTTAGAAAAACGTTTGGAGCATTTTTTTGTTCGTTAAATGTAAGTTTTTGTTTTTTAAAGTAACGACCAAGCGGCCAGCGGCAGACAGTGAGTTGATCATAGCCTATGTTTCGCTGTCTTCCGAGAAGACAGTTACAGCGTCCTCTGTTAAACCAGTCCTACGGTTATTATCTGAGGATATTTTGCTCCCAACCGAGGAAGACACGGAGTTGACGCGCAACCTAAAAAGAAAAATGGTTAGCGTCATGGAAGACAAATATAGTGCACCTGCAACACAGCAACTGTTGGCAAAGGCCACATTAATTGATCCAAGATACAGGGACATCAACCCCGGAGATGACGTTAAAGATGCGCTCCTGGAGGAGATGCTGGCAATGCCCGATGAGCGGAGTGATGGCGGGGATGGAGAAGGTGCCATGCGTACCTCGGCGGCTGGAGAGGGAGAAGGAGGAAGTGCACCATCTCCTCCAGAAAAAAAAAGAGAATCTTGCAGACCTGCTTGGAAAGAGAAAAGCACAGTCCTCCAATCCGGTCCCAAAAAGAATCCGTGCAGACACTGAAGTCGCAAGGTATTTGCAGGAGGAAGCCCTCGATCTGCACTCTGATCCGCTTGCCTGGTGGCGGGATAATCAGGCTCGATTCCCTCTTCTTTCGAAAGTTAACAGAAAATATATGACTATATGCGCTACGAGCGCTCCTTCGGAGCGTGTATTCAGCGCGGAAGGCAACATTGTCACTCCGTTAAGATCTTCGCTGAAACCAGACAAAGTGAACATGTTGGTTTTCCTGGCAAGAAACTTGAAGACCGAAAAATAAAGCAGTAGGACTTGCCGATTCACTTAAGCGGCCCCGCAGTATAACAATGATGTTCCTGATGTTCCACAAGCTGCATGCGTTCTTAAATCATTATATTTCCGAGGGGGAGGGGGGTTGCGATTAACCGCCGAACCGCGGTGATTTGTTGCGTCTTAACCGCTGTAAGAAAAATCCCATACCGTCACAGCCCTATACCTAACCAGGCATCAGTTTTGGCCATCACCCTGAGACATTTGTCTCATGAAGCCAAACCTTTCTGCATAGTCCACATTGCATTATTTTGGTTCAGATTAGGCTTGCCGCGATAGACGGTGTTGACGGTGATACCGTTGTTAAGCCTCAACACCGGTTATGTCACTTGCCAACCGCCTCACCGACCCCAACCGTCGTTTTGATTTTTTATAGAAATAAAAATCATTTAGTTCAGTAAAAGAACAGACACTACAATTAAAAACTGAACGAGGCTGCTCAATGCAGTGTGCCGAACGACAGTCGCATCACAAGATCAGATTTAATTTCTCCAGTGAGGAGAGTGAGTCGAGCTGACTGACAAGAAGAGTGAGGTGAGGTGAGACAGACAAGACGATCGCGGATGATTTAGTTTCGAAACGAAATGCAAAAGCGCCTGTTTGGCTCAAACACGCCTGTTGGTCGACCCCTACTGTTGGCCAGTTATGTGTGCAATATGCATCAGGTAGTGAGCGAACGATCCAATATTACCCTATCTTGGATGGGTAGCTCACCAGGATCACAAGCTGGCCTGTGTGTATTATTTAGCCGTTCACCTCAGGATAGACTCATTGTAGTGCGGATGCCAGGTTGAGGAATCCTCCTTTAGCAGTCAGTGCCAGCGTTAACACAATACAGATGCTCTGAGGTACAAGCGAGCGTTGTTTAGAGCCATAACCACACGTGTGTGTGCAGTAGGAAATGAGCAATAGTCGAGCACTTGAATGGGAACAGTCTCCGTACACATGACAATGTTTGGGGGAGGGACTGAGAAGATCTGATGACAAAGAACTCTGTGGTTCTGTAGCAGCGGAAACAATGGTGGATTGGCGAGTTCATCTTGATATGTGTGTCACGTCAAGCCGCAGACATTCCTGCACTCGCCGTGGCTGTTGTTAAATGTGTTTTTTGAACATTAAAGCATGTCAACATATTCTGTTACACCAAATACACAAAATAATGATCTTTAAAATGGCATCATATGACCCCTTTAATTACATTTTTTTTTTGTAAATTTACAAATATTAATAATTGTGATAAACACTTCATCATAGTCTGTTAAAAGACTCCAGTTGTTTGCATACTGTTTTAAATTATTAAAATACACCGCTTTTCATTTTTAAATAAGTCAAAAAGGTCATAATGTTATAATTACAGCTGTCCTGATATCATAAAGGAAGAAGCTTCAAAATTACGAATCTTGAAAAGAAAACCACATTCTTTGGCATAAACTTTTATGATCAAACACTGAACCTTTTGTTAAATTATTAATAAAGAAATATATAAATAAATATTTAAAAACATTTTGTCTTCCCAATCAAATGTAGTGCAACCCAGCAGACAGAAACTTGCAGAAGAAAAAAAAATCATAAAATAGGAAATTATGTCTATAAGTGTTGTAGTATGAGATTATAATAATAATAATAATAATAAAATATTAGATGATAGGTAAAATGTCATGTGGTGCGACTCCCCAAAAAATGTGATGTTATTTAGCAATTAAGTCATTATATTTGTTAAAAACACTTTTTATCATGAGAAATATATTACTTATTGGAAATAATGATTATGTATATACACTCGCATGTATTTAAGGTGCAAGGGAAATTTTATTAATTGATTAAAACATTTTTTTAGAGTCATAAAGGCTTGCCTGTGCAAAATATAGCAATGTGTTGTTTAGTATGTTGTAGTTTGTAGTTTTTAGTTTTTTTCGTATTTGTCATCCTTTCCTATCAAAATGCTTGCTATTGATGCGAAAATGCAGAAAATCGAACCTGGTCTGATTTTTTTCATTATTATTAATTTTTTTTATGATGGACAAAAGTTTCGGAGGCAGTATGTAAACGTGATTGACACAACATGAGGTCGTATTTATATTTATAAAACGGATAGTTCCGGTCCTTGATTCTGATTGGCTGAGCCGCGTTAGAAACTGTTGTAAATTACTCTACAAACATACACCTTTGTTTACGTTTGCGTGTTGCTTGGCAACCACTTTGTTGCAACCACAACTGTTTCAGAGAAACTACATTGTTTGGTGGAAGAATACTGTTATTATTTGTATCATTACACTTTATTTGCTCTGTTTTATGTTGTGAAACCGTACTATGTATATGGAATAACCGTTTTATAACAGCAATAAGCCCCGTGAAGACGTGGTTTACAGTGAATTTATAACAGCTAAGAGGGTTTTAGCACAACGCCCCTTAGCTGTTATAAATTCACTGTAAACCACGGCTTCTTGGGGCTTAGTGCGTTATTTAACGTGCAAAAATTTCGGATGAGTATTACGAACTCAGTGTGCAAAGACCTTTGCTCAAATGTCCCAGGTCCCTCCTTCACTGTAAGTCTATGGGTATTGTTGCTCCATTTATCATCCGCTAGACTCAGATCTCCTCAAAAGCTGCACAATATGCGGCATCATTAATTTCAGATGTACAAAAGTCTAAGCATTAGTAGTAGCTTGTCTTAAAAGGAAAACTGGGGTGCCTGCTTGTTTGTTTATGTGTATTTTCCTCTCACATATTTCTGTATCTCTGAGCCTGCGTAGTGTATTAGTTCCTAGAATCCTGCACAGATTGCGTGACAGTTTAGAAACCCTCATTTAGATGGAAGAGTGCTTGGACCGGTTGACGCGCCTGTCACAGTCAGGGAGGAGGGAGCAGACAGTTGTTCTGCTCATTCATGTTGTAACACAGATCCCTCCAGCTCATCCCCATCTCTTTCTCTCTCTTTCTGCAGACGGCTCTGAGCTCCTTTTTCCAGGAGGCCAACATCCCCAGTCATCACCAGATGGTAAGTGCGTTTAGTTCGGAGAGAGCATCAGCATCCTGTCATTGTCATCAGGCAGCATAGCATCTGAGAGAATAATGAGGGGCTGGACTTCCTGAAGGCCACGGATATTATTAAAGAGCCTGAAATACACTTATCATGCTAGTCAGGGCTTCTTAGAAGCCGTCCGAATTGTTTTTCATGCCCAGTTTCCAGCATCTCTCTGACTCCCAAATGAAATTTGACCTCATATCCAGGGCAGTTTCTGGATGACTTGTTTTCGCAACACAGTTTCTGTAAATGGTCTTAGTCGACTAGGAAGGAAGTTTTGAATTGTTTGTATTTGCACTGGATCTTTCTTTCTTTCTTTCTTTTATGAATAAATACTATTAAAGCAGATGCAATAGGGAGAATATTATACTGCCTTTTGAGTTATTTTAGCCAAATTCTAAGCATTGCATATATACTTTCAGGTTTAGGCAATCCCAGAATGCATTGCAAACAGTGTTGTTAACTGAAACCATAAAAAAAAAAAAAATGTTTGTTATTAAATTGAAAAACTTCTACAGAAATGAGGAACGTTGCCTTGGCAACTGGCAAGTAACTGATGCATGTTACTAAAGTTACTAACTGAAATAAAAGTAAAACTGTAAAAAAAGTCAAACTTTTCAGAAATATTTATTTTGAATACGTAAAAACACATACATTTCTAAATAAATATTTCCTTATTTATAAATGACAAAACGCAACACAATTATTACAAATTCTACCTAAAAGGAACTTTCAATTTTAAATTAGACCTGGAAATATAAAAATAAAGTACCTCCAAATATTAATAAAAATGATAATAGTATGTAAATAAATCACTGTAACACTGATTGCGACAAACATATTGCTGAAAAACAAGACCGAGAAAGCTGATTATCATTGTAATTCGTTCAATACAAAAAATGCAAATGTTTATGTGCACTGTTTTATTAAAATATCACGGTATTAGCTTTAGCAACATGATAACATCAAAATACTGAAAAAGCCTCACATGTGTTTAATACAGTAGCACTATTTGTGTGTCTTGTGAAGTTGCAGCCTATGTAGAGCGTTTTGAATCTGTCATTTCACCTTTTTATTGTTCAAAGACAGCTAGATGGAGCACAAAGAGATGCTTGTTACTATTTTTAACTTGCCATGCTGTCTTTATGAACACTTATGATGCCAGACTCTGGGGGGAAAAAGGGCTAGATGTGACGCAATGACCTAAGAATTTAGATGACTGTAGCACCCATGCTTTAAAGGGGCTGAATTTAAGAACTCAAGGTTTTAACATGCTGACAGTTTCATCCCCTTTTAAGCAGTCTGAAAAATATCTGGGAAGAATAGACTAGTCGAGTATAAGAGATTTTTCTACAGTCTAAAAATCTTCCAGCCGTGACTCCCACTCATGTGTCCACATCCTGTCTGCCTGCACATGTAGCCTCATAAATCAGCAATTTGAAGATATGCTGGACAAAGCCCTCAGTGATAGGAGCAGATCTGACCTAGCCCTTGGCCGTTGGATCAGTCATGTGCTCTGGGGCTTGATGAAGTGATTTTTGGGTCTGTACACACAGACACGCAGCTGTTTTTGAACTTCATCAGACGGCTAAAACACGAGCCGTGCTGTTTCCTCTTTGAAAAAACAGACATGCAACCGCTGTTCTTCAGTCTGCTGAGGGTTATGCAATCCGTTTTTCTTCTCACAAAACCAGTCCCCGTGGACAAGCCGCGATATGATTCTTGCAGTCGTGCTGCGTTTTAAAAGATTGACGTCAGCCTCCACCCACGACATGTGCGTGCCTGAATCTGTGTGCGTTTTCTTTTTTCTCTCTGGCTGTATGTGAGGGGAGTGTGTTTGAGAAAGGAAGAGGCAGGAAGTCTATCTGTGTTTGTTTTTATTTTGAGAGCAGCCATTACATCATGCAGCTGGTGACCATATATGGGCAAATGGGCGGAGCAAAGACAAGAGCAGACTCTGATTGGATCAGAAGCGTGTGTGTGTGTGTGTGTGTGTGTGTGTGTGTGTTGGTCTGTGAGTGTGTGTATGATACAGATGCAGTCAACAATGAAGTCATTTATAAACACATGGGACCCGTTTCCTGAGGGCTGCAGATGTACATGTTTATGAGTCACTTCCGTTTTGTTCTCCACACAAAATAAATAAACAATATATACTTATTTTTATCTTAAGTAGACCGTTTGCTTTAATGAGTTCTTTTCCTTCTGAAGTAATCATTTGAATATTTTTCATATTAAGTCATCAAAATACACATTTTACAAAATTATTTTTTGGTAAATTGGGTGAGTTATTTAGGTTTAGTAGTTATTTGATGAATGCCAGTTATTAATGTTAATCTGAATTTTCATTAAGAAGAACATTCATAAGAACAGTTCTCGATCTAAAATGTAGTTTTTCATAGTATTTCTGTTTAATAATTCCAGTAAATGACCATTGTTAATGTTTTAATGCAAAATTAATCTGAACATACAACACAAGACATACAATACAGATTAATAGTTAGATTAACGTTAAATAAACAAAAATTTATTAATAAGGCATTTACATAATGACTGTTTCTTGTCAAAATTACAACATGGTGTGAATGCAAAACTTTCGAAAAGGTAGTTGGATACATTAAAACTACTAAAAGAAACTAGCTAACAACGTGAACGTTGAAGTCTGACTTTAGAATTATGTAAATATTGAAATGATGCTAATGGATTTGTTTGGTCTAGTCCTGTCACAATGTTCTAAATTGAAGTTTTCAAAAGTTCTAAATAGAACAGAGACAATATATTCATCGTTACTTGCCGTTTCTTTGTATTTATTCATGGAATTTACTAGCAATTTCTGAGTGAAAATTGTTTTAAAGTAAATCCCACACCATTTTTTTCCCAGTGTTAGAAGTCTGTAGTCAGATCAGCTTTGGCAGTAGGGCCTTAAGTCACGAGTCTGGACCTGTCTTCCTGTAGAGCAGGGGTGTCAAACATACGGCCCGCGGGCCGAACACGGCCGTAGAGGAACCTGCTGAACTAGGCTGCCCCCTCTTCTCGGCAGCGCCGGGCCTGTTATTGGCACACGTCTGCTTTGGGCACCATAGAAAGTCCCGCAGGCCTCAAACCGGTCCTCTGAGCTCCTGGCTGGGCCCAGCGCACACTGTTTTGATTGTCCTTGAAAAGAGAGTCTCGTAGCAAAACACTCCACCCTCCGCCGGCCTGCGCAGTTTAAACAATTTGCTGAAGCCTGTAAACATTCATGCTGTTCGTCAGCTCAAATCATATATTTACTGTACTGTAACAACAATACAAGCTGCACGTTACTGCTTTTACTGAGAACTGGCCCAGTTAACTTCCATTTGTGACATTATCGCTTAACTTGTATTGAATCTGGAACATTCCTTTATTATCTGCGATCTCTGTCAAGACTATTTTAAACATCATAACTTATTACAGATTGCTTGAGGTGCTTAGGTACTCTTAGAGTATTTAAACTACTGATAAAAGGTGTGTTTCCATGTTGGTTTTACCATAGTCTCGCGTAGCCAGACCTTCAGACTGACGGCTGAAGGTCTGGAATCCATGGCAGCTTTTATTGGCCAAGGCCCGCCCATGAGGCCGTTTGACCGACATGTCAAACAACCAATCACAGTTAGTTTCGTTTCAGCATCATGTTTCGGGGCGTGGAAATGTTGCCACAATAACAGACCGGTGTATAAAACTCTCGGACGTATTTTAAAGATTCTATGCCGCGAACTTTAAATATTTCACATACTTTTGAAAATCCAGCGTTTAGTTGATCCTGATAAGCGCTCGTCGTTGTAAACATGACGGCTTTCTTCTTTCGTGAGGGGGTTTGGCGCCACGGCATCTTTGTTTCCAGGCGGAACGTTAAAGAACGCGACACCCTGAAGTGTTTCCACTTTTGTGTGCCGTATGCATCAGACGTTCAGCCAACGGTCCGTGGGCGTGACGTCTGAGGCTGAGACTAGTTTTACCATAATTGTCAGATTCTAACTTGTATGAACGTCTTCATAGAACCCATAATTACAACTTGCAAACTCTGAATTTTCTCAGAGTTCAGACTTGAAACATTCAAAATGTTTTCAGAAGTAAAATATAGTAGGCCATATTATAAAATGGATTTTAATGTAAGTTAAATAGTATATTAAAATGAGTATGTTATAATATTTAGTAACATATATTTTATTGTAATGTTACTTGAAATAAAATTTTTGTATTTTTATTTCATCTAGTTGCAAGATAACATTTCTTGATACTAAAATAAACGAAAACTGAAATAAAAATTTATAAAAACTGTACCGACAACTTATATGAATGATAAACACATACAACAAAATGACTAAACCTTCAACCAAAATTAAACTTAAAATGGAAAATATAAAAAAAATAAAAGCTAATTAAAATATTATTAAAACACTGGCTAAAGGCCCGTTCACACCAAGGACGATAACTATAAAGATAACGATAAAGATAAAAATCGTTCTCAATATTAAAGAATAGCAGAGTCCACACCACAACTATAACGATAAAGGCACAGGAATCACTTTCAGAACGATTTTTTCTAGCTGATGAACGATACACACATTGACAGCCAATCAGAATCAGTCCTGCTGTGACGAGCTCGAGAATTTAAAGCGACAGACGCACGTGCGCTTAGAATAAACAGACGATATCGTCCGCTGGTGTGGACGCTAATATCGTTATCTTTATAGTTATCTTTCTTGGTGTGAACGAGGCTTAACACGGAGTTAGATATCCTGCTAAAAAAAGCTAAACAAACTTTATTTATAAGTTTATTTGGAAGGCATTTGCATAACAACTGAAACTTGCTAAATTGTGTTTTCGTCTATCGATTACTCAACTGTTTTTGTAATTGTAATAAATTCTTGTATTTTCGTTCAGCACCACTATTTGTGGGGAAAATAGCTCATTACAGGAAAGAACTACACTGTTTTGAAAATGGCTAATATGCTAATTTACTTAGCGGTGTTATTACCTTTTAACAAGTAATGAGGTATACATTGAGTGATTGCGAAAATGGCCAGTGGATTCAAAAATATGTAGCTTCAGATCTGTAGAGGCGTGTAGCTCAGCTGTGTTTTTCCAGACATAGTGTTTGATTAGCAGTGTTGATGTAAACACTGAGGAGGGTGAAGACCTTTGAGTGTTTATATCCACACTGAAGCTGCTGTCTGGATGACCTACTTAACAGACGGATGTGTGTTTGTCCCTTTGACCAGCATCAGAGCTGCTCCACCGAAATAAAACTTAATAAACTCCTCTGCTGACAAACCCTTCCTGCTCTTATATCAGTCACCTGATCTCAGCGTGTGTGTGTGTGTGTGTGTGTGTGTGTGGTGGTTATTAAAGGAGCAGTTATCAGGAGCTGAAACTGCTGTCAATTAGTGGCCTACTTTTCCTTCATAACACACGGATGGCAGAGAGGGGCTGAGAGCTCCTGTGCAAACAAATCTCACGCTTTATGGGAATCATGGGACTGATGCTAAGCACAGTGCTGTTCAGTCTGTTGTGCAGCGAGCACATCCTTTTGAGTCCCATAATGCCTCATCTGTAGCTGACATATGCATCTGTGCGTGATATAATTATAAACCTCACATGGGACATATGCTATGAGGCTACTATTATAGTATGTCGTTCACATATTGTAATGTAACACAAACTGCCCTTTTCAGACCACTTGTGGAAAACATTTTCATTATGTAGAGGTTGTCCAGTCAGTCATAAAAGCGATTAAAGTACAGCAGGAAGCCATCCTGTTTATTATTAAGGGTCAGAGGCTGAGATTGTTTTTTGGTGCAAGTAACCTTGACTAACATAAGACATATTCTGCCCTTACATGGGTCAGTAATGTGACTTATCTGTTAATTTTATTCAAATATAATTCATACGTGTGATCACCTCGAATACACCTTTTCTACAATGTGCATGCGTTAATTTCTCTATTAAAATTAATTTTGACGTTTCAATTAAAATTGATAATGATTCTGCTGTCCTGAAATAACAGCTAAATTATTAAAAAATTATTCTTCAAAAGATGTTGTTTGGCATAACCTTTTATTAGTTTTTCTTAGAAATACATTTTTTTATTTAAGGCAAATAAATAATATATATTTAATGCCTTATAAAACTGATAGTTCCAGTCCTTGATTCTGATTGGTTGAGCCGCGTTCGAAGCTGTTGTAAATTACTCTACAAACATACACCTTTGTTTACTTCTGTGTGTTGCTCGGCAACCACTTTGTTGCAACCACAACCGTTTCTGAGGAACTACATTGTTTGGTGGAAGAATACTGTTTTTATTTATATCATTACTCTTTATTTGCTCTGTTTTATTTTGTGAAACCTTACTACGTATATGGAATAACCATTTTATAAAAGCAATAAGCCCCAAGAAGCCGTGGTTTACAGTGAATTTATAACAGCTAAGGGGGTTTTAGGTTTTAGTTTTCTAATAACGCCCCTTAGCTGTTATAAATTCACTGTAAACCAAGGCTTCACGGGGCTTATTGCTTTAATAAGGCTAGATTAACCTGAAAACGCATAATCCAAGTCATATTTTAACAAAACTGCTTATTCATATTTGGACAGATGTTTATCCACCAAGTCAAAGTCATGTGGTGTGACGAGCATGCATTAAAAAACATAAACCTAATAAAACAGGGAAAGATACAGACCTTTATGACTGTGTTTGAAGGTCAGTAAGTTTCTTAAAATATCAGATTTTTTTATTTTATTTTTTTATTATCAGGTCAAGGTTAGTTCAGGTTGTAAAATATCACGTGGTGCAAATCCCTAAAAATAATTATATTTATACATGCATAATATTTGTTATAAAAAGCATTTATTTATTTATTGACAGTATGGTATAAGGAAAATGTTATTACTTTTTATTTGTTGATTATCATATGACATTTTTAGTTATTAAATTAAAACATTACTTGAAAATAGTGTAAAAGTTTTAAAACCATAAGAAACCAATATATGAGCAATATCACTCTCTTACTCGAGCGATACCGGCTCTATATCAGCATGGCTGTGCGGCCGAGTGCCGGAGGCAATCACAGCCGCTGATATAGAGCCGGTATCGCTCGAGTAAGAGAGTGATATTGCGTTTATACAACAGTTCGACGGAACATGCGTGTAATTAAACAAGAAACAAAGGAGTGCCTAATAAAACCCTCTTTTGTGCGGAACTACTTCCTTCCGCCACGGATTCAAAGCTCAAGTTGACAGTTAAACATACGTCACTTTTAGAATTCGTATCAAGGGCATGTGCTGCTTCAGTTAGGTTATTAGTGAGAAATAATGAGGTTATAAGAGAGAAACAATGCGGCAAGACGTGCATCCAAATGAGAGAGAGAGAGACCGCGAAGCTAGACGTTTCTTCTTATATTAACTAACGTACTCTACGATTAGCTCAATGAATAATAAAAAAATAAAAAAACATAGACCCGGCTAGAACAAGCGGAGTGATACAAAATTGTGAAAGGGCGTTCCTGTAGCGATACCAGTACAATATCTCACGGTTCTCAACCAATCAGATTTGGAAGCCAGAACGAACTGTTGTATAAAGCAGTATATACCATATGAATACAGAGTAGTCCCATTATTTTGAATTTTATTTTATTTTGGTATTGTCCCTTTAAATTTTTATAGTTGTAGTAATTTTCTGTGTTTTTTAAATGTATTAGAATACATTTAATACATAAAATATATATATATATACAATTTTTATTTTTTTTCCCCTGTGTTTATCTATTGTTATCTAACCAACATGGGATCAGATAAACTGAGCTGTTTTTTTGTGTTTTTGTTTGTGCTCAGATGTGCACTCCACGCAACACTCCCGCCACGCCGCCCAACTTCCCCGACGCCATCACTATGTTCTCCAAGCTGCGGACGTCTGAATGCACGGGCGGCAGCGGAGCCGGCGCTTCGGCCCAGGTGTCTATGGCGTGTTCTCCTCCTCCCCACGCCTCCGCACAGGGATTCGGCTCCTTCTGGGCCTCCTCGCCCCCCAACCACCAGCCCGTCTGGCTGCCGCCGTCCTCTCCCACAGGCCACCACGCGCTCCATCACCACCACCATCACATGCACCAGCCGCCCACGTGGCCGCCCGTCTCCCAGCCCGCCAACGGCCAGCAGACGCCCGTCATGTCAGCTCTGCACGGCCAGAGATGAGACTCTGCGGCGGGGGAGACGCGGGGAGGGCCGGAGGTGTAAATTGGGGTGAGGATACACGGTTTAACGGGGCGGGAATATACTCACTGAGACTTTGGATGGCCAAGGGGGAAAGACGTGGTACTCTTTCTTTCAGTTTTCTAAAGATGAACAATCTCTCTTCTTTCGGAGATCTCGTTTTGATCGTTTACCTATTGTCGATTTCATTTCTGTCCAAACCTGGGAAGAACCACTATGAGAAAAAAAAAAATTATGGAAGTCATTAAGAGGTGTTAGAGTCCCAAAGAAGCCTCTTTTGTTTCGCTATCCAACAGCGAAAGAAAGCCACGGAGTCGTCGGCAGTGGACGATCAGGGCGAATGTGTGCGTGTGAATCTTCGTTCGTTCACCGTATTCGGACTCTCTCCTCCTCTGTAGCGCTGTGTCGGCAAGAAGCACTCGCAATAAAACGGCTGACAAACAATAAGACTGAATCACATATCATGGTGGTCGTGTCGTTCTGCATCCCAGGAAGCATCAGGAGGACGTTTCTGTATAACTAGTGTCTATTGAGTTCTTAACAGAGGCTGTTATGAGATGATTAATCACCTCTTATTTGTTCGAAATGCACAATTTCAAGTGCGTCGAGTTGAATTTATTCAGAATCAACAAAAACTATTGGTCCAGATATAAATGGAAAAAATCAGGAAGAGTTTGCAATAATCCTGGTCAGAAAGTTCATTCTTGTTTGGTAAATTCGCAACTTTTAGCATGTATGCGGTTAAATCAGGAAAGCTTGTTGTGTTTAAACTAAAATCGTCATTGAGGAATACAGACTCGAGTTCAAAGAAGTGTTTTGTGTTTGTTTTTTTTCCCCACCCCCAAGAACTAAAAATGCTAGCAGACTCTTGTAAAGATCTGAGCGGTCTGATGTTTGGAGGTCCAGCACAGCCGGCGTAGTAAAGCTCAGCTCCACCTACCTCAGCTCCAGCCGTGGCCTGATCCTACCTCCGGCGGCTGAATGGGCTCTCCGTGTGAGCTGCTGCGACCGAGGGCTCAAATACCTCACGCTCTCTGCCGAACGCGCCGTGTGAAAGCGATGAGACGTCTCCGTGGACGAGGACTGATCTGGTGTCACATATTGGCATTTGTGTTGTACTGATTGTAATGTAATGGAGCGGGAAGGCTGACCCTAGATCAGGACATTGATTGGCAGTGGTTTTCTGAGATGACGTGTTTCTTTAGTTTCGCATGATGTCACCTTCCCTTCATTCGTTCATCTTAGACAATCACTTTTGCCGTCTTGAGGTTTGAATTCGTGGTTTAGTATGGACCTCAGTCAGGCTGGCCGCCATATTTAATGTGAAGCGACTGAAAACGAGGCTATGACGGGATAAATGTACAGTTTTTTTCAACGTCGTTCTGTTACATCAGTCATTTAGTTGATTAAACATGAAATGTGCCCTAAAAGAATTATTTTTTTTGGTCAAAATAACTGTATTATTCTTAGCAATTTAGCAGTATTTCATACATTTACATTTCAGTTTAAGTAAGAATGGATTAATGAACGATGCACACAGGAATTTGTTCTGCTTTTTTCAAACTGTAGATTCACAAAGAAATCACTGCGTGAACACTTAATTCAGTTTCAGTTTATGTGAGAATGGATTTATGAATGATGTACAAAAGGAGCTTGTTCAGCTTGTTTCGCGCAAAGTAAATAATTAATAGACGCAATCTTTCGTATTTCAACATTAATTTGATAGGGCAATTTATGCAGGAACAAATTTATGAATGATGATGATCACTTGTTTCATAAATAAGGCAAAAAGATCAATTATTTTGTCATTTATTGCGTTGAATTAAGTAGTCGCAAATTTTGCCAAGAATTGATTTGTGAACCATTTACACCTTCTTAGTTAAATTGTCATTATATAGATAACTAAAAAACAAGCAAAACAAATTTGTGTTCAGAAATCCATTCTCTGTTAAATCAACACTATCTCACGACCAATTCGTATGTATTTTACACGGTGGCTTATTCGTATGAATTTGTACGACCTCATTCATAAGATTTTGTAGGATTTCTGTAAGGGGTAGGGGTGGTCATTCATACAAAATCCGACAAATTTGCCACCTCGTAAAATATGTACGATTTTTCACAAAACGTACAAATTCATACAAGTGCGATTGTATGCATTCGTACGAATTAGCCACCTAGTAAAATATGTACGAATTGGCATGAGATCAAGTTGGTTAAATTGTATTGATGAACTTAAATGCAAAGAGAAAACAATTGTGAACTTTTTACTATTTAAACTGTTCAATTTACGAACTAGTTACCCAAATTCATCCTGCTTGCGTTTAAGTTCACTATTATGATTTAAACGTGACCGAATTTACAAACTATTTGTACTTTCTCAAATACATCGTTGCGTTCAATTTAAGCACACACAGAGTTTGCGAATGTCTTACAAAACCATTCTTTCGTCAATTTTCATGTAACTTAAACACAAGCAGAACGAATTTGTGTGCATAATTTGTAAGTCCATTCTGTTAAATTGTACCATTTTGTTTTGCGAACTATTTACCCAAATTCATTCCAAGTTCATTTAATCGTGACTGAATTTACTAACTTTTTGTACGTTCTCTGATAAATCGTTGCGTTCAGTTTAAGCGCATACAGAATGAATTTGCAAATGTTCATAAAACCAAGCTTGTATAAATGTTCGTGACAAAATACATCCGTTTACGTAACAACGTCCACTGAATAAATTCACAGCTTCCTTCAGTTGTACCAACCTAAATATGGTGTCTAATTCTAACTCGGGTCCATTTTAAGCATTAGCCATTTTGATTTAATCATAGACGGCTACGTGATAGATCAGCTTCTGTGTTTTGGCCCAGAAAATGCATGTGAAATGCGAAAAGTACTCTTGGTTTTGGAAAACGCCACTAGAACGATAATGGCAGATATTGTTTGGTCTTCCGCCACATCTGGTGGCTGTTGTTTGCCGTGTAGAAAGAAACCTAGCATGTTGGTCTCCAAAGGCTGACAATAAGTGTTTTGTAGCCATCTGGGCAGTAGGTCATTCCTGCCAAGACGATTTCTGTTGAAGTGGTGCAAGAGACGCGAGTCTGAAGTCAAACGGCGGTGGCTCTGGTGTCAGTGTTCTGGAGCCTTGTGATTTTTGAAGTGTCTCCATTTAATTCAGCTGTCGCTCGGTTGGATTCCCATAGCAACCAGGCCAGTACTCTCAAATGTCATTCTCTGGAGCGCTGAAAGGCACAGGCATTGACTGTTTGAACAGTTGCGCGGCCGTAGATCTCAGACCGTCGTGATTCAGTTCTTCGGGGACGTGTTTGTTTAGACTGCGGCTGTGATGATCAACATACGCCGTGAGTCATCGAGAGGCAGGAAGACTGACCAGTTCCTTCATCAAGAAAACAAATTCGTTAGCGAACAACTTTTTGTATCGATTTCCCTCCTGTACTGTTTGTTCTTTTCCCTTGTTGAGATTTGTATTTATATGTCTGACAAAAAAGCTAAGATCTGAAACCATTTTGGAGGTCATTGTGTTTTTATTAAGGTCATAATAAATTATTTAATGACTAGTGTGGTTTGTGTTATTTGTCTTTGACGTGTAACAACTAAGTGTGGATTTCTTGCATGCAACTGTAACCCATTTCCGATAATAACAATTTTGTTTTGTAACTGTCTAGGTATGTTAACACACTCAAGCTGCTCGCTCAACAATCGCACGATTACGTGACTGAAACTGGGACATCATTACACAACTTCACATGCTAGCAAGTGTTGATGCAAGCATAATGTCAGCCAAACATGACACCGTTACGAACACTTGCGACTTTCTTCTGAAGAACACAAAAGCAGATGTTTCGAAGAATGTTCACGCTGCTCTTTTCCATACAGTGAAAGTGAATGCGACTGGAGCTCTGAAAAGGGAAATTACATTCGTAAAAGTAATGTTGCGTAAAATTCACGTTTTTAAGTCAGTGTGACAGTTTGGATCCATGAATGATGTACACACGAACAAATTTCTAACAAACATTCATAAATCCATCATTTTGTAGTTTGTCACATTGAATTGAATTTGTGTAAATTTGCGCACATTTGAGTTGTTTACACATTCTTGGTTAAATATCTGTGTAACTTCAACACAAGACTTTTGTACATGGTTTGTAAATCCATTCTCTGTTAAATTGTACCATTAAACTTAAACAAAAAAAGAACAAGTTTGGTTTAATAAGCAATTTATCCAAATTCATTCTGCTCTCACATTCTTGGTTAAATTTTCCGATTTTAAGCACGAGCAGAAGGAAATTGTAAAAGTTCATAAAACCCTCATACATTATGGTTTGTGAGGATAAGAAATAAGAATGGTAGTACAAACAATATTTTACCAAAATTTGGTAATGTGCATCCAATCAAAGTAAATGCGGATTGGGTCTTTGAAAAGGGGGGAAAATTACACAAGTAAACGAGATTTGAGCGATATGCTGTGGACGACTTTCGTCTTATGACTTCAGAAGACTTTTATGATGGTTTATTTTATATTATTTATTGTGGTTGACAGTGCCCAGTATCCGCCCCACATTCACTTTGTATAACACAAAACATTTTGGACATTTTGCACTTAGTATCTTTGTTAAATTAAATATATTATTTATTTTCCATGAAAGAAGCGATTTTGGATTGGAATTACATTGGGAGAAATAATGGCAAGATTGTCATTTCTGCATAAACCAATACATTTTTACATTTACATACATTACAGTTCTTTTACAAAATAGTACCATGGTGTATATAATATCACCATTATTTGATTTGTACCATATATTACCATTTTATATCAGAATAATACCATTGCTCATTAATTACAATATTTTTTTAATTACTTTGTCAACCACTTTGATTTGTTTTTTTGATGAAACCCTGTGTTAGTAATTTGGAAATGACGTCTATGATGCGCTACAGGAAGTGTGTGGTCTGCACATGCTAAAATTGTACACTGAGTACCTTTGTATCTGTGACCTCAGATTGTTCTAAAAACAAACTCCAAATTGGAAACGGGGTGACAATCAAGCTAAAAGCACAAGGTCATGAAATGAGTCATTAGTCGCTCCAAACAAACCTTAAAACATCAGCATTTTTACATCACTTTAACGCAAGACCTCAATTATGCTTATGATGAGTGTTTAGTAAATTGACGTTATACATGTGTAAGATTCAGTGCGATAGCTCACTGTAATGACGACCATGGTGTTATCACCAGTGCTGTTATAGAAACACACTATATTGCCAAAAGTATTAGGACACCTTCTAATGAACAGGTTTGACTACTTTAGTAATTTTTCAGTACAAATCTTATAATGAATTGTGTGCTTCTAATTTTATAGCAACAGTTCGGACAGGACCCTTTTCTATTCTAACACGACAATGCCTCTGTGTATAAGACAAGGTTCAAAAAGGAAATACACTTTTGGCAATATAGTGTATTTCCAACACTGCTGCATCAGTGGGACAGATTATCACCATTAATACTTCAACTGAATAATAAATCTGACAGATATTTAATTGCTGTTTATTAAAGCAGTAGCTGTATGTTGTAAGAGGTAGATTTGAGGTGAAACAGACATGAATCTATACCAGATACTTTGTACTGGTTTGAACTGATTGAAAAAATGTTCACCAACAAGTACTGGGTCAAATTCATCAGATCAACACTGCGAGAGAGTTTAGAATGTAAAAGCGAATTAATACTCACATTGGATGACAAACAATGTTTTGCATATTTAATATGACTGACGCTTATGCAAAAAACATTTATTAAATCTTATATAGATATTCTCAATGTTACAGAGGAACCTTCTGTTTCACCAATATAGCTTGTGTCGCGCACTGCTGTAAACATTTCATTCAGACAATGGAGCGGCTCCTATTGGAGGATCTCTAGAGTGATGTCACCGGCTCATCTTCTGATTGGTTGAGCTCTTTGTGGCGCTCCAGTGCTTCTTTCGGCTCTGTGGTGCTGTCATGGAGTGAGGTCTGAAGTGGGACGTCCTGGGACAGACAGTCCATAGAAGACAGGGGCCGATCTTTCATCGAGGTGCTGGACGCT